GATGTATTGGCGAATAATGCATGCAGATCCCAGTAAGGTGGCCTTCTGCAGCTCGCAGATGGTAATTTTGTCTGTGCTGATTGTGTTTAAGTGCAGGCCAAGGTCTTTAGGCACTGCAGCCAGTGTGCCGACCATCACTGGGAGCACCTTGACTGGCTTGTGCCAGAGTCTTTGCAGTTTGATGATGATGATGATTATTATTATTATGGAGGCAAAATTTCAGGATAGAATGCTTCTGGAACATGGCCATAAAGCCCGGAAAATACACAACAGCCTAAGAGATTGTTGCAGCTTAAGACTCTCAAGTGTCTGGAAAAGCAATGGGGGGATTTTTAAGCAAAGAAAACACTAAATAGGTAGTGGACGAGTGACATATTGGAATCCGTATACACACACATGCACACATACATATATATACATACATACATACAGGTAGCTATAGGGTGGGGGACACCTATCATAGAGTTGGAAGAGACCTCATGGGCCATCCAGTCCAACCCCATTCGTCCAAGAAGCAGGAATATTGCATTCAAAGCACCCTCGACAGATGGCCATCCAGCCTCTGTTTAAAAGCTTCCAAAGAAGGAGCCTCCACCACACTCTGGGGCAGAGAGTTCCACTGCTGAACGGCTCTCACAGTCAGGAAGTTCTCCCTCATGTTCAGATGGAATCTCCTTTCTTGTAGTTTTGCTACCTGACTTGATAGCAGTCTGTGCAAAAAGGATTTAGGAACTTTAGTAGAGCACAAGTGGAATTTGAGCTAACAGTGTGATGTGGCAGCAAAAAAAGCCAATGCAATTCTAGGCTGCATCAATAGAAGAATGGTGTCTAAATTGACATAAGGTATAGTCCCACTCTATTCTGCATTGGTCAGACCTCATATAACTTTACTATGTAAAGCATATACTATATGTATAAAGTTTGGTATACAAAGTCATACGCACACACACAAGGTGACTTTAGTACGTAAAGTATATACTATATATATAAAGATTAATATATAAAATTATATATGTGTGTGTGTGTGCGCGCATAGGTATAAAGTATAAACTATATATAAAGTTTAGTATATAAAATCATATATATATATATATATATATATACACACACACACACTTTGGTATATAAAGTATATACTATATATATAAAGATTAATATATAAAATTATATATATGTACTAGCTGTCCCCTGCCACACATTGCTGTGGCCCACATGGGGGTTCTGTGTGGGAGGCTTAGCCCAATTCTGTCGTTGGTGGGGTTCAGAATGCTCTGTGATTGTAGGTGAACTATAAATCCCAGCAAATACAACTCCCAAATTTCAAGATTCTATTTTCCCCAAACTCCCACCAGTGTTCACATTTGGGCATATTGAGTACCCGTGTAGAGTTTGGTCCAGATCCATCATTGTTTGAGTCCACAATGATCTCTGAATGTAGGTGAACTACAACTCCGAAACCAAAGGACACTGCCCACCAAACCCTTTCTGTATTTTCTGTTGGTCATGGGAGAACTGTATTCCAAGTCTGGTTCAATGCCATTGTTGATGGGGTTCAGAATGCTCTTGGATTGTAGGTGAACTATAAATCCCAGCAACTACAACTCCCAAATGACAAAATCATTTATTTTTTTTTGAGTGAAGGACATACATTGGGTTGTTAGGTGTCTTGTGTCCAAATTTGGTGTCAATTCGTCCAGTGGGTTTTGAGTTCTGTTAATCCCACAAATGAACATTACATTTTTATTTATATAGATCAGTGGTTCTCAACCTTCCTAATGCCGTGACCCCTTAATGCAGTTCCTCATGTTGTGGTGACCCCCCAACCAAATTTGGCACAATTACTAGATACACCCAAATTTGAATACTGGTGGGGTTGGGGGTGGGGGTTGGTTTTGTCATTTGGGAGTTGTAGGTAAAGTTTTTCCCCTGACATTATGTCTAGTCATGTCTGACTTGGGTGTGGTGCTCATCTCCATTTCTAAGCTAAAGAGCCAGCGTTGTCCGTAGACACCTCCAAGGTCATGTGGCCAGCATAACTACAGGGAGCATGGTTACCTTCCCACCAGAGCAGTACCTATTCATCTACTCACATTTGCATGTTTTTGAACTGCTAAGTTGGCAGAAGCTGGGGCTGACAGCGGAAGCTCATGCCGCTTCCTGGATTTGAACCTGCACCCTTTTGGTCAACAAGGCTAGGCCCCGCACGAAGCCTCCCTCGCCTAGATCGCGCTCCTGCCGGGCGCAAGGCAGCCATTTTGAGGGGGCGGGGCCAACCAAGTCCCCTTCGTGGCCCCCCGAAAATGGCCCAGCGACCCCCCTGGGGGTCGCGACCCCCAGGTTGAGAACCGCTGATATAGATGTATATATATAAAGTATATATTATATATATAAAGGTTAGTATAATATACATATATATATGTGTGTGTGTGTGTGTGTGTATGTATGTATACACACACACATATATGACTTTAGTATATAAAGGTTAGTATATAAAGTCCTATGTATACAGATATACACACATATGACATTATTATTATTATATTTATTTATGTGTCTGGTTTTGGGCAAATGATTCAAGAAAGATATGGGCAAAAGGTGTCCAGGGAAGGGCAACTAAAATGGTCAAAGGTCTGGAAATCAAGAAGCCCATATGAGGCAGCTGGGAATGTTTAGCTCAGAGAAAAGGAGGTGAAGACCTTTGTAGTTGAACCCCAGGGGTCCACCAAAGAACGCCACATTGCAAACCAATGGGAGGGACAGATTTAATTATCTACATTCTGGCTTGGTTTGGTTGACCGGCATCCTCAAAACTGTTTGCTTGTTTCCCTTCTAGAGAGGCATCGCCATCGGACAATTCTGCAAAGATTTCAATGAAAGGACCAAGGACATCAAGGAAGGGATCCCGCTGCCCACACGCATCACGGTGCGGGTAAGAAGAAATGTTTCACTACTGATTTGGTGGCAGAACATGGAACACATTGCAGGTGGCTTGTCTCGTTTCTAGACTTTCACCAGGAAATTTATATTTATTTATTTATCGTGTCAGTGCAACCAGTCGATTATATTACATTTCTAACAGAACAAAGCAAAAAAAAAAAAGACAAAATACGAAAATTGTGAGTTTGGTAGTTGATTAAATGTCCTTTGACTAGTATCTGGCCACTTGAGTGCTTCTGGTGTTGCCGCAAGAAGGTCCTCCATTGTGCATGTAGCAGAGCTCAGGGTGCATTGCAGCAGACGGTCAGTGGTTTGCTCTTCTTCTCCACACTCGCATATAGAGGATTCCACTTTGTAGCCCCGTTTCTGAAGGTTGGCTCTGCATCTCGTGGTGCCAGAGCGCAGTCTGTTCAGCGCCTTCCACGTCGCCCAGTCCTCTGTGTGCCCAGCAGGGAGTCTCTCATTTGGTATCAGCCATTGGTTGAGGTTCTGGGTTTGAGCCTGCCACTTTTGGACTCTCGCTTGCTGAGGTGTTCCAGCGAGTGTCTCTGTAGATCTTAGAAAACTATTTCTTGATTTAAGTCGTTGACGTGCTGGCTGATACCCAAACAGGGATGAGCTGGAGATGTCTCTGCCTTGGTCCTTTCACTATTGGCTGCAACTTCCCGGCGGATGTCAGGTGGTGCAATACCGGCTAGACAGTGTAATTTCTCCAGTGGTGTGGGGCGCAGACACCCCGTGATAATGCGGCATGTCTCATTAAGAGCCACATCCACTGTTTTAGTGTGGTGAGATGTGTTCCACACTGGGCATGCGTACTCAGCAGCAGAGTAGCATAGCGCAAGGGCAGATGTCTTCACTGTGTCTGGTTGTGATCCCCAGGTTGTGCCAGTCAGCTTTCGTATGATGTTGTTTCTAGCGCCCACTTTTTGCTTGATGTTCAGGCAGTGCTTCTTGTAGGTCAGAGCACGGTCCAGAGTGACTCCCAGGTATTTGGGTGTGTTGCAATGCTCCAGTGGGATTCCTTCCCAGGTAATCCTCAGAGCTCGGGATGCTTGTCTGTTCTTAAGGTGAAAGGCACATGTCTGTGTTTTAGATGGGTTGGGGATCAGCTGGTTTTTCCTGTAATAGGCAGTTAGAGCACCTAGAGCTTCGGAGAGCTTCTTTTCACCCATCTCAAAGCTCCCTGCTTGAGTGGTAATAGCACGATCATCAGCATAGATGAAACTCTCTGTCCCTTCTGGCAGTGGCTGGTCATTTGTGTAGATGTTGAACATGGATGGAGCAAGCACGCTCCCCAGATGCAGGCCGTTCTTCTGTTTCCGCCATCTGCTTCTCTGGTCCTGGACCTCAACAAAGAAGCTCCTGTTTTGTAGCAGGTTTCCTATGAGGCGGGTGAGGTGGTCGTCCTTTGTGATATTCTACATTTTTCTCAGGAGGAGGCGGTGGTTCACAGGATCATTATTTGTGTAGAAAGAAAGCCAGCAGTTTTGTTCCTACACTATACCTATCTGTCTTTCTTTTGCCAGCCTGACCGATCGTACGACATCCAAATAAACAAGCCAACGTCGAGCTATTTCCTGCTGGCAGCGGCTGGGATAGAGAAAGGAGCCACGAATCCAGGTAAGAGAGGGTTGGAGCCTCCTTTGGCAGAGAAAAATCAGGTTATAAATACATATAATAAATACCGGCAGCCCCCAAGTTATCAATAATATTGGTTCTGTAGGTTTGTTCTTAAGTTGAATTTGTATGTAAGTCAGAACAGGTACATTTTTGACGTGTAACTCCATCCAAGAAAATATGTATGTGTGTGTATATATACATATACATACACCTGCACGTGCGTGCGCACGCGCACACACACATCTATATAAATAAAAATGTAATGTTCATTTGTGGGATTAACACAACTCAAAAACCATTGGACAAATTGACACCAAATTTGGACACAATATGCATATCAGACCAACGAGTGACTATCACTCCTAAAAACACTGAAAAACATAATAGAAGAGACTTAAAAAGCTGAAAAACAAAAATTACATTATAACGCATGCGCAAAACCACACACACAAATATATACACACACAAAACACATATACAAAGACTAGGCAACAGCAACGCATGGCAGGGGACGGCTTTTGTGTGTGTGTGTGTGTGTGTGTGTGTATGGTAGTTTGGGTACCCAGCGTTGCCCGGGTTATTTGAAAAAGTCAATTTTTAATTGTACCAAGCAAATAAGGTTGTGGATGAACTACAACTCACATCATGCCAAGTTAACTCTCTGAAACTCCATCAGCACTTAAAGTTTGTTATGTTGGGTAAGTTTGCTTTAGGTGCATCACTGGTTGGGTTCGGTATGCTCTCCTCTGTTTGCTGTGTGCCATAGAAAAGAATAGGAAAGGGTTAAGGGGAAGGCGATGGGCGGGGTCATGCAAATTCGACACCAATGGAGAGAGTCAGAAACAGTGGGATGCCTGTGTTGGAGGAAAAACAGAAAATGTAGGATGAAATTGTCCCCGTATGAAAGCCTTCACGTGTGTGGTGGATAATGTGGTTTTTGTGGAGGACATTGGCAGGGTTCTTGGTCATGTTCATGATGCTCTCTATAACCTGCAATATCATTGGAGGCAGTGCCATAGGTGTTTCCTGCGTAGTGGGAGCTATAGCTATTTGTGGAAGTGGAAGAAGTCTGTGTAAGTGGACACTCCAGCCACACACACACATACATATTTTCACTTTTGTTATGTGTGTGTATATGTGTGTGTGTGTGTGTGTATGTGTATGTATGTATGTGTGTGTATATGTATATGTGTATATGTGTGTGTGTGAATATATATATATATATATACACACACACACACACACACACACACACACACACACACACACACACTAGCCATCCCCTGCCACGCATTGCTGTGGCCCAGTCTGTATATATGTGTTTTGTGTGTGCATATATGTGTTTATATGTGTGTATATATTTGTGTATCTGTGTATATGTGTGTGTTTGCATATGTGTGTGTGTGTGTATGGGTGTATATGTGTGTGCATATCTGTGTGTAGATGTGTATATATGTGTGCATATATTTGTGTTTTTATATGTGTATATGTATATTGTATATATGTGTGTGGCTGTCTATATGCATGTATATGTGTGTATGTATGTGTGCCTGTATGTGTGCATCTGTATATGTATATATGTGTGTGTGTGTATTTTTGTCTGCTTGGGTATATATATGTGTGTGTGTGTGTGTGTGTGTGTGTGTGTGTGTGTATGTATGTATGTGTATATGTATATGAGAGTGTGTGTATATATATGTGTGTGTGTGTGTGTGATGTATTTTGGGGTTTTTTAGTCTGTTCTGCTGGTTTTTTTGTGTTTTTTTGTGTTTTTGTGTGTTTGTGTGTATATGTATATTGTGTATATGTGTGTGCTTGTCTATATGCATATTTATGTGTGTATATGTGTGTATGTATATGTGCATGTGTATATGTATATATGTGTGTGTATTTTTGTCTGCTTGGGTATATATATGTGTGTGTATGTATGTATGTATGTATGCATGTGTATATGTATATGTGTGTGGTGTACTTTGGGGTTTTTTTAGTCCGTTCTGCTGGGGTTTTTTTGTGTGTGTTTTTAGGGATGATGAACACTCATTGGGTGTATTGTGTCAAAATTTCGTATCAATTCGTGTAGTGGTTTCTGAGTTATTTCAATCCCACAAACGAGTATTACATTTATATGTATGTATGTATGTATGTATGTATGTATGTATGTATGTATATATATATAGGCATGTGCATATGCATGCATGCTTTGGATAGCATAGGGAAGGATGACCACCCAGTGGTGTTTCCTTTGCTGTCTGTGTCCCTGTTCAGAAGATTTCACCTCACTTTCTATCCCTGTGATGATTGGATTTTGGAAAATTTGGAAGGTTCACCAAGGGCTAGATCAGTGTTGTCCTTGCGGGGATCGGTTGGCACTTCAGGATCTTTGGTTTTGCCCTGCAGGGCATGAAGTGGCCGGGATGGTGACCCTCAAGCACCTCTACGAAATCGCCCTGGTGAAGTCTCAGGACCCGGCTTTCGTGCTGCGCGACATGCCCCTCGAGAAGGTCATCAAGTCACTCATTGGGAGCGCAAGGTCCATGGGCATCAAAGTGGTGAAAGAGTAAGTGCTGAGGAGCCTTGCAAGTTGAGTTGCGGGATAGGAACAAGGTCAGGCATGGCATCCTAGAGTTTGCAGAGATCTCCAAGGGCCATCCAGTCCAATCAAAGCCCTTCTGACAGACACCATCAAAGCCCTCCTGGCAGATGGCCATCTAGTCCTAGATTTGGAAGAGACCGCAAAGGCCATCCTGTCCAAATTCATTCTGCCAGGCAGGAAGACACTATTAAAGCCCTTCCAGCAGATAGCCAGCCAGTCAAGAATCTCTGGCATTTTCTTTTTTGCTGAAGAATGTCCCTCGACTTGTCTTCAGGTCACGTCAGGATCCATGATTTAGGCCCCAAAGCCTGCCCTTGACCTAATAGATGTCAGTCTATACACAGTAATATTATAATGTAATGCAATATAATAATAATAGTAATAATAATAATTCGAAATAATTAATCGAATTAATTATTTCGAATTATTCAGAAATACATCACACAGTCCTAGACTCTTGGGAAATGTTTGACTTGTGATTTTGTGATACAAAATCCAGCATACAAAATCCAGGATATAGATCTCGTTTGCTGTGACATACTGTGCTTTTGTGTCAATAAGAATAATATGATATTATAATTATATATTTATATTACATGTAATATTACTAATAATACTACAATGTAGTGGTATGGTGCAATATAGCAATGTTTAATGCTGATATTGTACTATGCTAATAGTATAATATATTGTATGTAATATTACCATGTAAGTCCCTCTGAGTCCCCTTCGGGGTGAGAAGGGCGGCATATAAATGTCGTAAATAAATAAATAAATTCCATCTGAACATTAGGAAGAACTTCCTGACTGTGAGAGCTGTTCAGCAGTGGAACTCTCTGCCTCGGAGTGTGGTGGAGGCTCCTTCTTTGGAAGTTTTAATGTCCCTGGCAAGCCTGAGCTCATTTTGTGCTTTAGCCTTGCAAACCTTCTCCCTACAAGAGTTGGCTATTTGTTTGAATTCTTCTTTGGTGATTTCTCCCTTTTCCCACTTCTTGTATATGTCTCTTTGGAGTCTCAGCCCAGTCTGAGAGTTGTTCAGCAGTGGAGTCTGTTGTATAGAGATGGTACAGCATTTCTAGCCAAAGAAAAAGAGGACGAAATAATCAATTTCACTCTCTCCTGTGTGACTCAGTCCGAGTATCTGCCTATGTTGTATGGGATGATTTGATTAATCTATATTAGGAGGAACTTCCCAACTATAAGGAGAGCTGTTCAGCAGTGGAACTCTCTGCCCCGGAGTGTGCTGGAGGCTCCTTCTTTGGAGGCTTTTAAACAGAGGCTGGATGTCCATCTGTCGGGGGTGCTCTGAATGCAATTTTCCTGCTTCTTGGCAGGATGGGGTTGGACTGGATGGCCCATGAGGTCTCTTCCAGCTCTATGATTCTATGATTCTTAGCTTGGCTTTGAGGGGAGGTCATTTAGGTTCCTTTAAGAGAGTTAAAGTGGCATATAAGTAATAATAATAATAATAATAATAATAATAATAATAATATAATGATCATAATTATATTTCTGTTTTGAGGTTCTGGAGATATCAATGTTCTATGTGACCTGTAATAATAATGATGATGATGATGATGATGATGATGATGATGATGATGATGATGGACATGCAGCCCAGAAAACTCTCAGCAACCCAGTGCTTCTGGCCATGAAAGCCTTCAACAACACCACAATATTGATATTCCTGTTTTTAGGACCCAAAGATACCAACATTCTGCATAACTAATAATAATAATAATCCTTTGAGGATCCAAAAATATCAACCTTCTGCATGAATTATAAAAATAATTATAATAATTGTATTAGTGCCTTAAGGACCCCAAAATACCAACCTTCTACATGAATAATAATAATCATCATCATCATCATCATCATCAAGTATTAGTGCCTTAAGGACCCCAGCATACCAACCTTCTGCATTAATAATAATAATAATAATAATAATAATAATAATAATAATAATAATTGTATTGGTGCTTTAAGGACCCCAAAATATCAACATTCTGCATCATTTCGGCCTTAGAAAAGTGGCAGGAGAGAAGTAGAAAATGGAAAACAAGGAAGGAAGCAGTTTGAATTCTCATTTATTATCTCTCTTCTTCCAACCTCCGAAGTCTCGATCCAGAGGAATACGGAGCTTTCCTGAAGCATCGCGAGGAAGTCTTGGCAGCCGAGGCCGAAGCAAGAGCGGCTGAGCTCGCGGCGGCCGGGAAGAAGAAATGAGTCCCTCGGTTTAGCGTTCTGCAATGTGGACCCCTGGAAAACATGGACCGTTGGCGGTTTCAGCTTGGGGCTTGTCCCCACTTCCTGTGTGCATCAGGAGATACAGTCTCTCTGGTTTAGTTTGCTGCAGAAGAAGGAAGGAGTTGCACAAAAGGAGAATGTCTGAAATGTTAGCTCTCACGTGAGGTTATGCCTCGTCCGAACCTTCTAATTAAAAACATTGGGTTGTAATTATCTTCATATGTGTTAGGCTTGTCTTTCCAATCTGATCAAGGCTTGGGTTGTTTGCATCTCTCCAAACAGTTGCCATCCCTGTTCTAAGAACTTTCTGTTCAGTGTGATTTTTTTTTGTCGTGTCAGAGCAACCAGTCCATTATATTACATTTCTAACAGAACAAAACAAACAAACAGAAAAATACACAACTTGTGAGTTTGGTGGCTGGTTAAATGTCCTTTGACCAGTATCTGGCCACTTGGAGTGCTTCCAGTGTTGCTGCAAGAAGGTCCTCCATTGTGCATGTGGCAGGGCTCAGGTTGCATTGCAGCAGGTGGTCAGTGGTTTGCTCTTCTCCACACTCGCATGTCGAGGATTCCACTTTGTAGCCCCATTTTCCAAGGTTGGCTCTGCATCTCGTGGTGCCAGAGCGCAGTCTGTTCAATGCCTTCCAAGTCGCCCAGTCTTCTGTGTGCCCAGGAGGGAGTCTCTCATTTGGTATCAGCCATTGGTTGAGGTTCTGGGTTTGAGCCTGCTACTTTTGGACTCTCGCTTGCTGAGGTGTTCCAGCGAGTGTCTCTGTAGATTTTATAAAACTATGTCTAGATTTAAGTCGTTGGCGTGCTGGCTGATACTCAAACAGGGGATGGGCTGGAGATGTCACTGCCTTGGTCCTTTCACTATTGGCTGCTACTTCCCGGCGGATGTCAGGTGGTGCAATACCGGCTAAGCAGTGTAAGCTCTCCAGTGGTGTGGGGCGCAGACACCCCGTGATAATGCGGCATGTCTCATTAAGAGCCACATCCACTGTTTTAGTGTGGTGAGATGTGTTCCACACTGGCATGCATACTCAGCAGCAGAGTAGCACAGCGCAAGGGCAGATGTCTTCACTGTATCTGGTTGTGATCCCCAGGTTGTGCCAGTCAGCTTTCGTATGATATTGTTTCTAGCACCCACTTTTTGCTTGATGTTCAGGCAGTGCTTCTTGTAGGTCAGAGCACGGTCCAGAGTGACTCCCAGGTATTTGGGTGCGCTGCAATGCTCCAGTGGGATTCCTTCCCAGGTATCCTCAGAGCTCGGGATGCTTGTCTGTTCTTGAGATGAAAGGCACATGTCTGTGTTTTAGATGGGTTAGGGATCAGTGGTTTTCCCTGTAATAGGCAGTAAGAGCACCTAGAGCTTCGGAGAGCTTCTGTTCAACCATCTCAAAGCTCCCTGCTTGAGCGGTGATGGCACGATCATCAGCATAGATGAAGCTCTCTGTCCCTTCTGGCAGTGGCTGGTCATTTGTGTAGATGTTGAACATGGATGGAGCAAGCACGCTCCCCTGAGGCAGGACGTTCTTCTGTTTCCGCCATCTGCTTCTCTGGCCCTGGAACTCAACAAAAAAGCTCCTGTTTTGTAGCAGGTTTCCTATGAGGCGGGTGAGGTGGTCGTCCTTTGTGATATTATACATTTTTCTCAGGAGAAGGCGGTGGTTCACAGTATCATAGGCTGCTGACAGGTCTATGAAGACAGTTCAGTGTGATGGAAATGTGTGTAGTACCAGAGAGTGGCCAGCAGGTGTCAGCCGTGTGCTGTTTACTTTTCTATTCCCTCTTCAAAGAAAAATATCTAAGCATCCATTCAACCTGCTCTCTTTTATACAATCAGTCCAAATAAAGCCCTATCTGTACTGCCATATAATGCAGTTTGAAACTGCATGTATATGGTCCGTGTAGCTGCAGTGTAGTTTAATTGCATTATACGTCTACTCCAGCTATATAATGCTGTTTAAGTGCATTGAGCTGCATTATATGAGTCCAGACCAGCCATATAATGCACTTTGAGTGCATTGAACTGCATTATATGAGTTTACACTAGCTATATAACACAGTTTAAGTGCATTGAGCACTTATATGAGTCTTCACTGGCTATATAATGCAGTTTAAGTGCATTGAACTGCACTGCATGAGTCTTCATGGCAATATAATGCAGTTAAGCATATTGAATTGTGTTACATTAGTCTACACTGGCCATATAATGCACTTTGAGTGCATTGAACTGCATTATATAAGTCTGCACTGGCCATATAATGCAGTTTAAGTGCATTGAACTGCACTATATGAGTCTTCATGGCAATTAATGCAGTTTAAGTGCATTGAACTGCACTGTATGAGTCTTCATGGCAATATAATGCAGTTAAGCATATTGAATTGTGTTACATTAGTCTACACTGGCCATATAATGCACTTTGAGTGCATTGAACTGCATTATATAAGTCTGCACTGGCCATATAATGCAGATTAAGTGCATTGAGCTGCATTATATGAGTCTACATTGTCCATATAATGCAGTTTAAGAGCATTGAATTGCATTATATAAGTCTACACTGGCCATATAATGCAGTTTAAGTGCATTGAACTGCACTATATGAGTCTTCATGGCAATTAATGCAGTTTAAGTGCATTGAATTGCATTACATGAGTCTGCACAGGCCATATTATGCAGATTAAATGCATTGAACTGCATTATATGAGTCTATGTGGCCATATAACACAGTTTAAATCCATTGAACTGCACTATATGAGTCTACACTGACCATATGATACAGTTTAAGCACATTGAACTGCACTATATGAGTCTTCATGGCCATATAATACAGTTTAAGTGCATTGAATTGCATTACACAAGTCTACACTGGCCATATTATGCAGTTTAAGTGCATTGAACTGCATTATATGAGTACACTGGCCATAAAATACATTTAAAGTGTACTGAACTGCATTATATGAGTCTTCATGGCCATATAACACAGTTTAAATGCATTGAATTGCATTATATGAGTCTACACTGGCCATATAATGCAGTTTAAGCATTATATGAGTCTACACTGGCCATATTATGGAGTTTAAATGCATTGAACTGCATTATATGAATCTTCATAGCCATATAATACAGTTTAAGTGCATTGAATTGCATTACACAAGTCTACACTGGCCATATTATGCAGTTTAAGTGCATTGAACTGCATTATATGAATCTTCATAGCCATATAACACAGTTTAAATGCATCGAATTGCATTATATGAGTCTACACTGGCCATATAATGCAGTTTAAGCGCATTGAATACATAGTTCCTCCTATACTCCCAATTCCTATTGCAAGAAGTAACATCAAAGCATGTAAATGTAGCTATAGCTGAATATATATGGTAACACAGAGTAAAATAACAAAAGCATGTTTAACATAGCTCATAGAAAGCATGGCTGGTACAAAAAAAGTAACTTTTCCCCCAAATAGTTTGACTTGTGCCAAAAGGAGCTGAATAAGATGCCTTTCAGCCCCAAACCCGCCTCCTCATTTGGGCTCCAAGATGCAACTCTTGTCTAAAAAGGAACATTGATGCTCGGGATGCTGGTTGTATGGCGTTGCCGTGGCAACGGGATGCAGGGGAGGGAGAGGATGGTCCATGACGCCAGCCTGCTGTTGCCTAGCGACGGGCATCTTTCCCTTTTCAGGGTTTTTTTTTTCTTTTTTAGGCTTTTCCCCTATTTTGGCAGCAAAATCCAGAATGCAGCTGCGTCAGCCTTCACAGCCCCCCCTCCTCCCGTGAACATATACCCCACGCCACCAGTTTCTCTTAAAGGCGCAGGACTTTAAAAATCCTTTTGCTGGGTTCAGACTTGGGGTAACGGCCACCCACAAATAGCCCTCATTTGTGCCCTATTTATGGTACATCCACCCCACCCCCACCCCCCACCCCCCCAAAAGCATCCTCTGGCTCATGCGTGGCCATATGTCGAATGAGCCATCCTGGGTCCCAGTCACCCCAAGTGATGAAGGAAAGGATGAGAAATAAAGGGGGCGAAGGAGACTTTTAATAGATGCCATAAAGAGAGAATTGGTCCATAAGGAAAGTGGGGGGCAGATCCCTATATTGGGGGCCAAAACTTATTTGGATGCTGCAGCAAGGAGTGGGATGATGATGTGTGTTTATTATATCATATTATATTATATTATATTATATTATATTATATTATATTATATTATATTATTGTATGTATGTATTATGTAAGGTAAACGTTTTCCCCTGACATTAAGTCCAGTCATGTCCGACTCTGGAGGTTGATGCTCATCTCTATTTCTAAGCCAAAGAGCCGGCGTTGTCCGTAGACACCTCCAAGGTCATGTGATGATGATGTCTCCTCTGGAGTTTTCTAAGCAGAGGTTGGATGGCCCTCTGTCAGGAGGGCTTTGACGGTGTCTTCTTGCCTGGCAGAATGGAGTTGGGTTGGATGACCTTTGGGGGTCCCTTCCAGACTCTAGTATCAATAATACCTGGAATATTGTGTCCAATTCTGGGCACCACACTTGAAGAGAGATATTGACAAGCTGGAATGTGTCCAGAGGAGAGCGACTAAAATGATAAAAGGTCTGGAGAACAAGCCCTATGAGGAGCGGCTTAAGGAGCTGGACATGTTTAGCCTGAAGAAGAGAAGGGTGAGAGGGGATATGATAGCCATGTATAAATATGTGAGAGGAAGCCACAGGGAGGAGGGAGCAAGCTTGTTTTCTCCTTCCCTGGAGACTAGGACGTGGAACAATGGCTTCAAACTACAAGAGAGGAGATTCCATCTAAACATGAGGAAGAACTTCCTGACTGTGAGAGCCGTTCAGCAGTGGAACTCTCTGCCCCGGAGTGTGGTGGAGGCTCCTTCTTTGGAAGCTTTTAAACAGAGGCTGGATGGCCATCTGTCAGGGGTGATTTGAATGCAATATTCCTGCTTCTTGGCAGGGGGTTGGATTGGATGGCCCATGAGGTCTCTTCCAACTCTTTGATTCTATGATTCTATGATTCTATAATAATAATAGACAATAATAACGAAATCTCCTTCTCTGGAGGTTTCTAAGCAGAGGCTGGATGACCATCCATTGGGAGGACTTTGGTGGTGTCTTCTTGCCTGGCAGAATGGAGTTGGGTTGGATGACCTTTGGGGGTCCCTTCCAGCTCTAGTATCAATAGTAATAAGAGATGGT